CTGCTTCGTATAACGCACAAAAGCATAGAGTGTAAATGGATTTCTACGGTGGCAGTTCCAATGGGTTCCAATAAGTGCACTCCGAACGCGTATCTCCCAATTCAAGGTCCAGAAAAAGCAAAAATTCTAGGAGAAAACGGTCTGGAATTGATGCACCTTCCAGGTTACAATTACTCCGAAGAGTATCCGAAACAAAGATAAATAAGTGACGTTAAGTCCAACAGCTACCGTATCAATCCAAATATGGCTGTAGCCATATTAAAGATCAAATTTAAACAACATATATACAGATCAGAAGCAAACACAGAAACTTCAATATAAGTACAAAATATAGAAATAATAACAATATACAATGATAAAATCTCAAATTGGAATCAAATAAAATACCAAAAATGTCAACAGAAAAAGTCCGTCATGTCATAACAAAAATATGTAAACATGGAGGGATTTTCCAAAAAACTAAACATTCAAAAAGGATTCTACATAGAGGACGACTTGTTTAGTAGCAACCTCTGCAGCAGAAGGCCTCATCATAAACAAGGGTAAAAGCAGGATCCTTCAATACAACACGACATGCACCAACCAAATCACACTTCATGGAGAAGCTCTGAAAGATGTGGAAACCTTTACATATCTGGGAAGCATCAAAACAACTTCCAACAAACGCCAACATCAAAATTCTCGACACAAACATCAAAACATTTCTATTGTATAAAGCAGAAACTTGCAGAACTGCGAAGATTACCATCGAAATAGTTGTCTACGCAAAATGCTGTAAGGGCGCACACTGGGGATATTACTTATCAGCATCAAGAGACAACCCTTACTTGGAATCTTTAAGACCAAAGAAAAAGAGGCAGACCAAAGAATACATGTTGTAGGAAGTCGAAAATAAGCAGCGAATAGCAACTGGAAACGAGAGCCCGGGACTGAGTTGGCTTGGGGATGCTGGTCGGCGGCCTATGCTTCACGAGGGGTAACAGCCAAAAGTAAGCAATTTTCGACAATATATTGGTTAAACTAATTCCTCAGTAATTGTTACAAGAGAAATTTCATCCTTTCTCACAGCCTAGATATTAACTGGCCGGTTAATGCACCTGATCCTGATGCCCTCCCCTTCGTTTTAGATTGACTTGGGTCCTTTTTAACCTGCAAGAGAAAGCCGCTTTCTGTCAACCCGTTTCTCTTTCTTTTGGTAGTTGACCGGATTATGGGAAACGTCAACACAAAACAACGAACGCAGATGATAATGGCCATTGTAGCAGCAACCTCTGCAGCAGTAGGACTCATGATAAACAAGTGTAAAAACAGGATCCTCTATTACAACACGACATGCACCAAACAAACCCTCAAAGCCGAAGGAAAAGGAGAAGATAAAAAAGAGACTACTCCGAGAAGTAGAGAAATACGTGAGTCGAATGAAGAACTATTATATAGAGCTAAGAAGGAACGTCACGACAGATTAGGTTAGAGAACGATGACTAATACTGCTTTGGGGATTTTAGGCGTAAGTATGTAAAGTAAGTAACTTACATGAATGGTGATGCATCCTTATTACACTACGAAAATGTTCTCATCCAGTAACCACTAGGCTCATTGCAAAAAGGTTTTGTTTGCCTGGTATAAATAAGCAAGTGAAGGAGTCTGAATGCTCTAGTGTGAGCTGACAAAATCTAAGGTGGTCAGGCATAACGAATGTCACCAAACACTTTCGCAACGGCTAAGGCTTGATTCTGCAGTGTCCATTCTGATTTGAAAGGTTTCTTATCTGATTTAAATGAAAACCTATCTTCTTATGCGGAACATTGTATAAGTTGTCCAGAAGCGCTAGCAATACCAATAATAACATATTTCTCGAACCTGTTAGATATCTTTTTACAATATGGTCACCAGTATACGAATAGGATGCCAAAAGGGATTTAAACACATAAAATAAACCGTCAGGGTTTCTAAACGGTGACATAAGCAATTTATAGATTTACGACAGTGTTTATGAGGATTCGTTCTCTAATTACATAACAAATGAAACTACTTGATATGTCTACAGTTGTTGTTTTACGACTGGAAAGCGCTTGGTATCTGCTGCAATCTTGACTAAGAGACGCATAAGTTTTGTGTAGCAGGCGTTTGAAAAAGCTTCGTGGCTCCGGGCTGCACACATGGTACTGAAAAGATAAAAATAACTAGTATCCAGGTTATTCGATCCAAGACCTCAACAAAGCCTAACAGTATATGGTTGAAAAGAGAAGGGAATAGCAGAGAAAACTCAGTCAAAATGCTAATAGAAGCATGGATTCTAGGATTTAATTTGTCCTACAGATGTAATTCTTCAACGGTAAACGCAATATTGGTGAGCACAGAGTCTATGGGAAAGCTATAGTTAGAACAAGACCAATTTTGCTTCAAACTTTATCTGTTTCTAAACATAAAAACAATTAGATTAGTACAATAAATGAGAAAATTACAGTAATCAAGTAAACCCAATAAACATACCGACCAATCTAGCGTGTCTTATGGAAATGAATAAAGTTACGAGTCACATCAGTACAATAAGATAAGTGTCCCTCAATTATTAGGTCATTTAAAACAAAGAAAGTTTACAGACACGTCAGGTCAGATCAGGTGGTGGTCGCTTAAACCACAATTTGATTGGTTAGTTATGGCATAACTGTTAGGATTTTCATCCAATATCTTGAGAGGGTTATTGGTCAAATCCTATTGGCCGATTTCTATTGGTCAAAATTATGGTCGTTTTAACTGTCAAAGTCAAATACTTCAATGTTGTTTCTTATTGGTTGTCCTGACTATCACTGTCACTTCAAATGTTACTTTCTGTTGGTAGTCTTAACTGTCAATGCCACAGAATTCGATGCTGTTTCCTATTCGACCAAAATGTATAAATACGCATTATCTGTAACATTTTCGGACCACGACCAGGACTAGGGCTCGGTCCCGGATCCCTAGTCCGGGATCCTGATTCTCTTCTGGATTCGGAGCTCGTACTTTCTGGATGCTTGTAGAATACACGTTCTACTTTATGTTATGTCCTCTTATTTTTATTCAATATGCGGGTTGGGATAATCGGATTTCAGTAGCATGTCGTGCCACCGGATCCTCGATCCTCGCTCTCGTTTTCTGACTGGGTAAATTCTTAATAGTTCAAGTATATCAAGTTGACGTGGTTACTTGCAAGCGTAACAATAACTACAATTAGCTATAAAATAACTAACATGGATTGCCTTTAAAAAGTTTATGGATATCAGGACTCCTTGTGGAAGCTGTAACCCAGAGACCAGAAGCGTCGCTCTTATCAGTGATCAAGCCAAGAATGTGAGTCCGCTATGCAGATGACACATTTGTCATTATTAAAAGGAACGAGCTGGAGAACATTTACAATCGGATAAACAACGTCTTTGTTGACATGAAATTCACAATGGAAAAGGAATCGAACAACAGTCTATCATTCCTGGGTGCACTATTCGTCAGAATTGACACAGGGAAACTGGAGACCAAAGTGTTTCGGAAGCCAACCGACACAGATGTCATTCTCAACTACAGAAGCAATAACTTAAGAACTCACTTAATCATCTGCGTACAAACGCTGTACAAAAGGGAGAAGACACACTGCAGCACATATAAAGTACTAAAAACGAAGACAAATACCTAATGACCATCTTCCAAACAAACGGCTATCCACGACATTCATCAAAATACATCAAATGAAATCGTCAGCAGAAGCGAAATCAAGTGCAGGAACCAATAAAGAATGTTAAGTAGCTTGGCACTCACATCAATCAGAAATCAACAAACATATGGACATTGACCCAATATGTGAACCAATCCGAAAAATCGTAGGCAAACATAGGGTCAAGGAACAGATCAGAGGGGATACGATCGAAACAAAGATGCAAACAACGACATGTTTAAGTCAGTAGCAACCAATCAAGATAAAATTCAACAGAATAAGCTACGGATCAAACGTGTAGAAATTCGAATACTTTATTTCTATCTGAAGTTTGTGCTGATGATGTTGTTCAGGAGACCAGTGAAAGCTCCACAACCAGAAAATCCAGCTTAGCGAATAAAACACCACCACAATTTTGAACACTGCTTATTTTCATGGGCGAGTATTCCATCAACGTGCTGGGTTAACCACAATAGAAAGAGATTAGTAAATGAAACGAGTAGTGTATCTTTGATAAGCAATTATTATGACATGCTTAATGTAGCGACCCTAAACCGAGGACTTAGTCAAAATGTGATAGTAGACAAATGAAAAAAACTGAGCGTACCACAATGAGGATAAAATTGTATGTAGAGAACGAAGAGTAGCAACAAAAAACACGCACCGAGTTTTACTTGAAAGTTCGCTCTGGGTTAACATCAAAAGTAGGGTCTGTACAACTATCGTTGACATCATGTGTAACTTCAGTATTTACATGGGAAAGTTAACAAGTTGATTTGGTCGATTCACAGCCAACATAAAAAATCACGCAAGTCCTGGAAATCGTGAAAGATATGTATATGTCAAAAATAAACACTAAAAAACCAAGTTCGTTTATACCAGCTCTACAGAGTAAACAATAAATTGATTCTGTCATGTGCCAGCAAAGTGATATGATGGCTTGAGTCTTATCAAAAGGTGCTTTGTGTATTAATAAAACATACAGAATAGTGGGAAGAGTTGAAAAGGAGAAGAAAAAGGTGAACCAACTACCAATTGAGATCTCAATAGACACATACATTTTAAACTGTTGCGACAATAAGCAGCCACAAAAGCCTCAGATTAAGGCGATCATAAGGTAGAAAGTAGAAGCAGAGGGTTTGATCCACTAGGAAGAGAAACTAACGAACAGTCGATATTTCGAAATCAGTAAATTTGTGATTTTATTATTGTTTTGCCGTATTGAGACTACGTCTCTGTTTCCCGATACAAGTGCGGTTTGTAAAGCGCCCTATACGACTGGTTAACGTTACGGGGTGTTTTGAAAGGAACTGCAATGTCTACGAAAGCCAGCTGTGAGTATGGCACTCCGAAATACTACGCACTATGCGGCCTCGGTGGAGTTCTAAGCTGCGGTCTCACCCACACTGGAGTGGTCCCATTAGATTTGGTGAAGTGTCGTCTACAAGTTGACCGAGCTAAATATAAAAATATTACTCATGGATTTAAACTCACAATTGCTGAAGAAGGCATACGAGGTCTAGGAAAGGGTTGGGCACCAACCTTTTTTGGGTACTCTCTTCAAGGGCTTGGAAAGTTTGGTTTTTATGAAGTGTTCAAACATATATACAACGGCTTCCTATCTGAAGTAGGTTACTTAATATGGCACGTATAATATTTTGTGCAGGAAAACGCGTATTTATGGCGAACATCTGTGTATCTAGCGGCCAGTGCCAGTGCAGAGTTCTTTGCTGACATTATGCTTTGTCCGATGGAAGCTGTAAAAGTACGAATTCAAACAATGCCAGGGTGGGCTAATACACTTAGAGAAGGTGTGCCGAAAATGTACAAAAACGAAGGATTCATTGGGTTTTATAAAGGCCTTCCTCCTCTGTGGGGACGACAAATCCCGTATACAATGATGAAGTTCGCTTGCTTCGAACGGACTGTGGAAGCACTGTACAAGTATGTAGTACCAAAACCACGCGAACAATGCTCAAAAAGTGAACAGCTGGTTGTAACTTTCGCAGCAGGTTATATCGGTATGTCTCACTTTAAAATTTTTTTATTTCCCTAGCGGGTGTATTTTGTGCCATTGTATCTCATCCTCCTGACACAATAGTGTCGAAATTAAATAAAGATCCAAATGCACGCCTGATGGAAGTTGCCAGAAATTTGGGGTTAATGGGTAAGTCATCAATAGATTTTCTATGGCGTTTGATGTGTATGTTGGCAAGCAAACTTGCTCTAAATTTTTAAACAGTTGATATTCTGTAGGTTGGACAACGAAGAATTTCGGATCATAATAAAAACTGATGTCTGACAGGGATTAATGACTGTAGCGTATGATAAGTAGTTACTATCTCTGGCAGCACTACCTAAACATGGAATAATTAAGTGGTGAAGAAAGTCCAATATCTACTTTTTCCTCATGAGGTTTTAATGTAGGCATTATAGTTTATAAATCCAAGGTTCAGCATCAGAAGATCGCAAGTGTGCTTGTTAGGTTTGTGCTTTATGTGAACGTTTGGTGTTCGAATGGAATCCTCAGACATCATACTCCTCACATCCCATCTCTATAATATCTGTTGATCATATAAGTCAGTCCAACAGTAAGCTGAATAATCTTGATTTCTCAGGTATGGTGTGAATATCAGAAATAGTTGGTAAAGACATCGGTGTTTTGATCGCTGCTTGTGAGGAATTTTATAGGAGCGGCACTACTTTTAGGTGCAAATCTTGGAACTATTTCTATCGTGTACGAGTATCCTAAAACAGATAGCAAGATAAATAGTTACTAGCTGTTTCTACTGGGGGGAACCTACCAGTGAATCGGTTATCTTCTGATAGATAATATTGTGTAAATGACATCAAGCTACTCATCCCGTACTTTTTATGATCGCGCACTCCTTAAGGTGTAACCGGATTGCTGGTTGCACCGAGTCACTGTGCGCAAAATAAAAACCCCTCTCTAGCAGTTTCTGCTGGGAAGGAATGTACCAGTGAATCGATTGCTCGCTGGTATACATTACTGCATATTCCTCACACCGAATTATCTGTAATTATAATAAACAGTCAGTCATAGATTGTGGTGCGCGAGCTCCCAAATGCCATGGTACATCCAAGAGTGGGAAGAGTTCGCACTGTCGCGTGGCCATGTGTTTATACCCACTGCTAGGGAAGTCCCACTCACTGCATCCTTGCGGCAGGGAGTTATCTACGAAATTGAGAGGACGAAAAGCAAGTGTCCAGCTTATCCGGCTTATCTCTTAATCATACCCAAATAGTTCATATCCGGAATTATGACGAACTCATGCTCTTTTTGCCTTTAGACTTCAGCACTAGTTTTACAAGGTATATTAGATTTGAAGATTAAACAATGTTAATCAAAATGATTATCATATACCTCTAGCAGTTAAGTTGCATATAGGATTTCTGCTTCTCTTATTTCTCTCTGAGGACCTCATTAATACTCCTAGTCACCATACAACCCATTTACCATATAATGGAGCGCATAAATATGTAGTTATTTGACCTTACATTTGTAAAAATCTTTTTTTTTAAATTTCTAATTAAGGTATGTGGAGTGGACTTGGACCTCGTATTATCATGATTGGGACATTAACAGCTCTGCAATGGTTCATTTATGATGGCTTCAAAGTAGCTATGCAGTTGCCGCGCCCGCCACCTCCATCTATGCCAGAGTCACTAAAGCAGAAGTTAGAAAGCCAAAAGCATTAATCTAGTCTATCAAATGTATACAGTGCTCCATATTTTATCCTAGTACATTCAAATTAATTCTTTTCTAACACCTATAAAAAAGACCTAGTTTATAGATTTAAAACAATCGAGTACAATATATTTAAATGAAGTTATTTCATAGAAATCTGTTGTTTATGTACAATTAAGAAAAAGACTGCTGCATCTGAGTACCGGTTTGAAGACGTCTTCTGTTTGGCTTAGAAACTAACGGTTTGGGAGTTTCTCTGTGCAACAAAAAAGAATCACTGTCGTCTATACAGAAACTATCTATCTGATATTCGTCCTGTTCCGGCGTCTACAACAAAGATTGGATAATTTCCGTTAAGGTTTTATGTATCGAACACTATACGTAATATATATTGATTAGTTACAACAAATATCACTGAGAAATTTTACGACGCGATTCGATTCTCAAAAATGAATGAATCATAGCAATAGCATGTAAGACCTTTTCTGATAAATAACAATCAAAATACTTTTCAGAGAAAAAGGGTCTAGTTATTCCTAATGAGTCCCCAATCATCTGTACCATCTGAAAGCTAAATACAGTAAACCAAAATATGTCGTCCAAAACCTTGTAGGATTTCTTCAATACCGTGTCATTGTTGATTTTGGATGACTTATTTCGGTCCTAGTCCCAAACTATAGCTAACACCTTTGTCGTGGTGGTTGGGCTTGCCTATCGTAATGACCCAACCCAGTTATATTGGCAGGAACATATGTTCCCGTAGGTTCTACGATGCCAGGCAGGTCGATTGGAGAACAATGATACTAAAAACAGCTACTCAAGATCTGAGGGCGAAGTCGTACTGCTGACTTTAGAGGGGTGTGAGAGCAGTAAGGTGTTTCCCTCGGACAACCAGCATCTGCAGCGGTGCTGACTTCTTACAAGGGAGAAAGGGGTTAGAAAAATTCGGTCCTAAAAATGTCACACCTTATCTTACCTCACGGATTTGTCTCCGGAGGTAAGGCCTTTTAAACAAGAACAGAGCTGACACTTCAATGACTCATAAAAAGGTCGTGCGTGACCGGCCTCAAGTAGTTGTACCTCGGACTCTGCGGTCACGCTCCCAGATCGCTAAGACCAACCCTGATCTACCTTCCTCTTCAGGTTCCTCAAAAATAACTTCCACGGTGTGGGCAGCCGGGAAGTGACAACCACCCTCATACCCATAAAAGCAGACGAGACTTAATTGGTCACAATCAAATCATTTCTACACCTCTTAATAACTCTCTTATCTACTCGACCAACCCTTCTTTCGATCGTAATATCAGTAGTAGGTGCCTTGAGATTCTGCCTCCTGGTTTGTTATTTACATACAGTCGACGATAGCCAACAACAGACAACTATTCAGACTCATCAATGAAACCGATATTAGGAATCCAACTGCAGGTGAGACTATCTCGGAAAAGGATGGTCTTATTATTCAACATCAATCCAGGAGATTGGATCCACGGGCAGAACACTTCAGGGATCAGTTCAACTGTCCTTCAGCCACACTTCGGTTACCCACGATCTCCAGTCATCCTGAATCGCAAGTCCACTTGAGTCCTCCTAGTCATTATGAAGCTGAGAAAGCGATAGGAAATCTGAACCGAGGCAGAGCAGCCGGTCCTGATAAACTGTGTACCGAGATTTTTAAGAATGGTGGTCCAGTTTTAACAGCTAGATTGACCGAGATCGTAGGGAGAATCTGGGAACTGGACGTAATCCTATACGACTGGTCCCAATCCCTGATTGTCCCAATTCATAAGAAAAGGACAAAAGTCTTCTGGCCGTGTGAGAGCATATGACGAACCGTCATCGAAATTGATTACTTTGAGTGACGTTCGTCAGGAATGTCCACTTTGTCCATTCTGATTCAACTTTGTCATAGACCTGCTTTTAGATATAACATTGTCTTTGTCTGACTTTTCAGGAATTGACCTTCTACCAGGAGACACGCTTGTTGACTTAGAATATGCCGATGACATAGCCCTATTCTGTGAAGACGCTGAAAAAATTCACTCTTCTCACTACCCTAAGCAACAATGCAAGCATATTCGGGATGCGGTTCTCACCCTCGAAATGCAAAATGTTGCTTCAGGATTGGGTTGCATCGGCACCTGGACTAGTGATAGGGAGTGAAGTAGTCGGACGAGTAGACCGCTTCATTTATCTGGGGAGTCTGATTGTCTGGTGACTGACGAAATCTCAGCTCGGATACAGAAGGCTCAATTGGCTTTTGCCAAGTTACGTCACCTATGGCTCAGGCGAGATATCCGTTTGCTGACTAAGGGACAAGTGTACTAAGCATCAGTTTGCTCCATTCTCCTATCTGGATGCGAAACATTGCCATTAATAGTAGAAAATATTCGTAGGTTACTAGTATTCGATCGTAGATGTCTTAGAAGCATTGCTGCTGTATCGTGGGACAACTGAGTAAGCAATGCTGCCATTAGGAAACGAGTATTAGGTTAGGATGGCAGATGAATAGATGAAGTATTGAGACTTCATCATTTGAGGTGGTTGGGATATGTGTTACGTATGCCTAACCACCGACTGCCGCGACGAGCTGTGTTTTGTGGTGTAGGAATGGGTTGGACGAAAGCTAGGGGCGGCCAGACCAAAACATGGCACAAAACCATGAATTCACTGACAAGTATACTGAGTCATGTTGATAGATGTAGGCTACCTGGTTGGGGCCCGCGAGACGAAGTTCACCAATGTTTAGAGACCTTGAACGACATGGCTCAAAATCGTTTGCATCCACTCTTGAACCTGAACTTATGTACGAAGTTCTGCGTTGTAACTGACTGACTGATTAACCCAAACTTTGTAAACAGATGAGACGAATGGATGTAACAGTTACAGGTATTACTTATTTCTTGGTCCACAACCGGTAATTATTCCTAGGTCCCAATACGCAGCTGTCCTAAGTATCTATGTTTCCGATATGCATATAGGTGTTTGTATATGGTACCATGATTATTTGCATGACTAGATATTTGGTGGGATCCGCTCGAGTTGCTATCCAAAAGAGAATTAATAATTTTTCACTGATAGTCCCAATGCAAGAAATAATGCTTTGTGACTTTTTAACTATAATGACTTGCAAGTGCAATAAGATTTCGAAGGACGGCCAGATATACCTACTTTCCAGTGCTAACGTCGACAGGAAGCTCGATTGGCACCCGGCACTAAACTAGCTTATTCACTTTTGAGAAACGACAATTTAAGGACGCTAAACGGAATAAAGCCTAGACGGTAACAATCCGGAATAAAATAAGAAGAACGATTCAAACCACAATCGGTTAAAATGATATGGTTTGTTTGTCAGTAGCGACTGTTGTCTGTAATTGTGTTACTGTTTAGGTATACAAGCTGAAGTAGACAGTCTAGTCCATAAGTCAAGTATCAGATTTTCCTAGCAACAAGCCTCACTCCTACCGGGATCTTGAAGTGTCAGAACGAGAATTTCCCACCAGTATATATGCACCTAATATTGCTATATATTTGTGAAATACTCGGTCTTTTAAGAGCACTGAAATATTACCGTAGATTCAGAGGAATATAATCAAGGGAGATACGAACTAACCTGTGAAAATATAAAGGAATTTGCTGTATCATCACACTTCTCAAATATTTTCGGCAAAACTTTTCTTTTGTTGCCCAATGGATTCTTGACGTTACCTGGAAATACTTGTGGACTTCGGATGCTTTGGAGGTACACTTTCATCATATCAGATCGAGATGAGTTGCACGTGACATCCGCGTATCCATCGTTTACGAAACTATCATCATACATGTCTTGGTCTTCCGAATAAACCTGGTCAGATGACTCATTACTCGTACACTCAGCCTGTGATAAAAACAATTTAGATTTAGCATATTTATTACTTTTGATGCCCTTTTTTTTGTCCGACCGGTTCAGTGTTATGAACTCACTGAGATCTTCGTGGAATATACCCGATAAATCTTTGTCAGTAGTTTCACTAGCGTTATTATTTTTGACTTCATTTTGAAAAACTGCTTCAATGTTGCTTACTTTTATTGGTGACGACGAATATAATAAATCATCTGCACTGAGTACTTCTGTTATCTGTTCAACCGGAGACCAGTTAATTTGTGAGTCAAAAGAACTGTCGGAAGCGGTAGAGAAATAACTGTTTTTCAACCCATCTCTATCATTAGTGTCCATATTTTCAGTAGTTTGGGTGGGCTTAATGATATCATTCAGTTCTGTTCCTAATGAGAGTCTTGTTTCAAAAGTAAACAGTTCAGTTGATTTATGGAAACTACTCAAATGTGGAAATGGTGAACCAGCAAAAATAGCACTTTGAGAAGTAGTAGAAACTACAGGGGTCGTTAGTTCTTCATCTAATAAACTTGATGCATCCAGATGAATCGTTGAATTCTCCAATAAAGCTAAAGCTTCATCGGGATTAACTTGACTTGATGAAGAAATTGCAATTTGCTTTACACCGTTTAGTCCAAAGGGAGTGCTTCGAGTTAAGTTAATTACAGTACTAGGTAGACTGAAAGCTTGAACAGCATCGTTCACCACACCAAAAGATGGGACTTCAGTACTTTGTGAAACCACCGGTGTTAGTTGTTGATCATAAAATTTGCCATCGATTGTTTGAAGATCTTTTAGGGTTGGAGAGGTTTTAGCGAAAATGGGCAGTTCTGTATTAATTGCTTCAAGTAAACTATTTTCTATACTAAGCTCAATATTCAACTTTGGGTTTAAATTATCTGTAGGTGAACCATGATCTTGATCAATCATAGACTCTAACCACTTATTCAGTGCAGTTTGTAAGGATGTTACTGTAATAGGATCATGACTGTTCGTGTTAATATTATGAAGTATCTGAGTAAACTGTTCTGCACAAACTGTAAATTCGCTAAGATGAGGGTCAAGAAATACTTTGTCAGACACTAAACCCTTGACAATCTTAAGATCCTGAATAATATCTACTGAGGAATGGGATATCTCTGAAGCAAGTAGCGTGTTACTAAGCTTGGTGGAAGTCGATTCTTCAAGATCATGATCTTGTGAAGAGCTATCCAAACTTAACTGGTTTCTGGATGGCGACAAACACATTTTCAATAATTCACTCATTTTTGTATTAATGTCGACTTTCCGTATACCCAGAGCATGGTAGGAAAGTTGTGTCATATTACGACGATGCATCTCAACTAATCGGAGGATTGACATGAGGTGTTGCGATGATGAAGATGATCCAACGTTTGAGCCTGGAGTTAGACTAGATTGCATTGTTTCTCTGAAGACTTCTAATCTATCTTGGGACGTTAGATTGTACATGTCCGTAGCTGTTGGGTAGTCTGAACTAAAAGTATCCATATCAGATTTTGATAAGTGCTGAATTCGGCCCAGAGTAAGCGGGTGTAACCTGATATGCAGCCTGTTCAGATTAACAGACTCTGCATGCAACACGTAGGTGTCTTCATACGAACTCTTCTTCTGAACATCTGGCTGCTTTAGTTCCGATACTTGATTACTAGGATCTTTTTCGACTCGTAAACACTTCAACTGGAGTTTAGGATGAACACCAATTGGCACCATCCTTGGGTTATGTGGATAAAAGGCAAGCTTACAATAAGCGTTTCCCTCAAGTAGAGCTTTATGGACAGAAGATGTCCTCGCGATGCTGATGGCATGATTTCTTTCTTCACGACCTTCTGTTAACAGCATAACAATACGTCCCAGTCGCTTGCGACCAGTTCTACCTTGACGTTGCATTAGTTGAATCGGTGATTTTGAGGCATCAAAGCAGACGATTAGATCAACCTGTCCAACGTCAATACCCTCTTCACCAACACACGTTGACACTAGAGTGTTATAAACACCTGACCGAAAACCATCCATCACACGTATCTGATCCCGTTGAGATATTCCACCCTGAGCATTTGACAATCGTGGGTTTTTCAAGCTGGGTGACTCACATTGATTTGTCAGTTGAGGGCTTCCACTTACTCTTGTCCCTTGTCCAATAAATGACGCTGGTTTAATTAGTGGTCTTAGTTGTTTAAGCATATGCATAATTTCTTCGACTGAGTCGCGAAACTGCGTGAAAACTATAGCGCGTGTGGAACTTCGTTCGTGTATGTTTTTTCTATCATTAGAATTGAAATGACCAAGTAAAATATCTTTTAGTTTATCAAGTTTAGGATGACCAGCCAAAAAAGGTGCTTGAGAATGCAGTAGTTCCTGATGAATTAATTCTTGCTTCCAAGTACCTTCAGTGCACTCTACGTTTATGCCGAATCGTTGAGCTAATTCCCTCCATAAATTATTCATATGAGGAAGTTTGCTAAGTTGACTCCTAACCAATGGACTTGCTCGATTTCCAGAATAAATACCCTCTAAATAGCGATAGAGGGGGCGTAATCCATGTTGAATCAGCAGTTCCAAGCCGTGGAGTAAACAGATAACTAAGCCAAAATCACATTGAATGGAACTACTTTCCGCTAAATTGATACTAGGAAACGATTGCGAAGACCACTTTTCTCGTGCCTTAATAATTGTGTATTTTGCTATTTTTTCTGGACGAAGATCACCATAACACTCTGAAAGTGCACCACGTTGATAAAGTCTATCGAGGGGCACACGAATACACTCAGTTAATTGATTATGATACCGTGTCAGCTCCGGACCAAGGGGGACAACTACTGCCTCTAGCTCCCGATGTTGTATGTATGGTCGGACGTCAGCACTAGTATCAGTTCGCAGCTCAAGGTGAGATATAAGTAAGTTTGCAATCAGTGTTTGTACCCCTTCAATATCAGCTGCAGGTGTGGCGGACAAAGCAACAATCCGAAATTGTCGATGAGTGTATGGTGGATTTGTCAAGATTCGCAATACCTATTTTGTAAAAAAACCCATAGGTGATAGATAAGATACAAGTATTTGGATTAGTTTATCGAGAAAAATAACTGAAGCACCAAATAATATCAACTAGGAATAAAAGAACATGAAGCAGCATAGAATTTGAAAATTTATCTGAATTTTAATCGGTGTTTGTCCCGAAAAGTGACCAAAAATCTATAGTTAATGCATGATGTTTCGAAGTAACTGTTCGTGATAAGCTATCAGTAGAGTCAAATTACTTTTGAGTGGTTTTATGGTTAGCAACAAAGAACTTCATCTTTATACATAGTCAAGTAGCTTATCCACTACAACGAACGCTTTATCTGAGGCCTAAACATATCAAACCGTGAAATCGTCAATGAGCTGACAATATTCTTATCAACACTACTACACCACTGAAGATATCGAAATAAAAAACTGCGAAATATCAGGTCACAATTAGGACAGTTCAAATCATTTTCATGTCAGAATACTACAGTGTAGAATATGAAAGCAAAGTGTAAGACATGAATTCAGGTACTATAACCAATAAATGAATGAACAAGAATAGTCATTTAATGAAAGATACAACCTAGTTAGGAATTAAACCAAGGTAAATCATTTCAGTCAAGAGGTTTTATTTTACTTTCATGAAGAAAGTGATACAACTACAACGGGATAGCATTAGGGCAGATGGTAGCCTTACACCAGTATCTTTCATACGATCATCCCATGTTATGCATAAACTGACCATCTTTATCACCAGTGTCAACCACTAATCTATGATGTGCGAAATCACGAAGACATTCGTAAAACTATCGAAATTAATGTTTTAAAATGGTAATACCAACTGAATTACTGTCAGATTGACTGAGGATAAGATTGCTGACATTTGGATTGCTCACCGTACGTGAACAATGCGTCGGAGATAATGATGGTTGGAAATAGACTTTCCAAACACCGTTCACTCAGAGTGATCAATTTTTACAAGCATGACGAAAAAAGTACTCATACTGAGGCGTTTTAAACCCGACCTTTTGCACTCACACTAATATATCACGCAGCGCTTGTGGGCATAAACTGCCATTTTATGAAGTGTGGTATGTATAGCCCGGGGATCGTCCTACAATATCATTAGCATATTTGAGGTCAAAAATTCTCTCCCCAGGTAAAAGGTTCACTCCCTCCACCAACGCATACTTCCTTCAAAGATGTTTCCAGAATCCATTCTTTGAAAAAGTTACAGTGGAATTTTAAAATCGGGCAACACCATTACAATATTACAACAACAGGTAGTTTTATGCTTTCACTTTGATTTAGGTATCCTACAATGAACCATAAACAAGTTTTTGATAAACAGCCTAAACAAACTAGAATATACCTGACAACCTAAATAGTCTCAATTTAATGTGGTCAATCTAACAACGTATTAGTTTACAAAACGAATTATTGCATCATTTTCCATCGTAGATTAAAATAACGTTTAATAAAATTTTACATTATTGTCTTTTTCGTTCACATTAGTTATTATGTCAAAATCTTCGGTCAATAAACAGATTCAAAATTACATACAATTATAATTATAACCTAAGAAACTGTTCATTGTGATAATAACATGATAAAAGACTTTAAAAGTATCGTAGGATTACACCAAAGTCACGTATACTGGAAACAAGAACATCAGGCTGTCAAGTTTTTTGAAGTCTTAAGTAACATTTGTGACCAGAGTATTTATTAACTGTTCGTCGAGATTTTAAATGTACAAATTATAATCACCAACATTTGCTGAAACATTACTCATACATAAATACTATAGTTTATAGCTTTGAATATGCGATATATTGTTAAGGAATTGAAGTAAAGATTTACTTAATTCACATTTTAGACGTTATCATGCAAATACTTTTGTATATATTAACAATACACTCTAAAACTACTCTTACAAGTTCATGATTTAAGTAAATAGTCAAACTAACGGATCGATAAATGAATACCTGCATAGTATGCGGTTAGAGCAAATTAGAATTTATTTTTTGTGCATCTAGACATGAGCAGATCAATAAATGTCAGTCAGTCAGTTGCAACGTAGAACTTCGTACGTATGTACATAAGTTCATGTTGCCATACCACATTATTAGCACAGAGACGCAAATGTCAAATCAAATCCCATAGTGATAAAGATAGTAGAGGTATTAATGTTAATAAAGAAGACTAGGGTTTAAGATATTATTCAGTAAATATAATTCAGTGAGATAAGGTTAGAAAGACAAAGGTAGAGGTGCTGACGAGTCCAGAAGATTAGGATTTGAGAGAGCTCAAAGAGTGGATGCACCTGCGCCATTGTAAACGATTTTGAGCCATGTCGTTCAAGGTCTCTAACCATTGATGACTTTCGTCTCGCGGACTCCAACCAGGTAGTCTACATCTACCAACATGACTCAGTCCACTTGTCAGTGACTTCATGGATTTCTGCCATGTTTTGGTCTGGCCGCCCCTAGCTTTCTTCCAACCTACTCCTACACCACAAAACATAGCTCGTCGAGGCAGTCGGTGGTGAGGCATACGTAACACATGTCCCAACCACCTTAACTGATGAAGTTTCACCACTTCATCGATTGATCTGCCATCCTTATCTAGTACTCGTTTCCTAACGACAATGTAGTTTGGAACGGGGTTTAAGGAGACCAGGAACGACGTTTCGCAAACTCGCATCGTTTGCATTAGCTGTGCACTGTAATAAATGAATGTGAGAAGAGTTAGTTGTGGAGATAAGAGAGGTATTAGGGAATGTAGGAAGGATTTGATTTTGAACAATTTTGTCTCGTGTGCTGTTGCGGGTATGAGGGCGGTTATCACTTCCCGGCTGCCCACACCGTGGAAGGTTGTTTCTTGACGAACCTGAAAAGAAAGATGGATTAGTGTTGGTGCGTGACCGCAGAGTCCAAGGGACAACTGCTTGAGGCCGGTCACGCACGGCCTTTTTATGAGAGGTATTTAGAGGATTAGCTCCGTTCTTAAAGGCCCTTAGTGGGCACCCTCACCCAAGGAGACGGAAATCCGTGAGTTAGGGGAGGTGTGACATTTTTAGGGCCGACCTTTTCTAACCCTTCCTTCCTTGTGAGAAGGCAGCATCGCTGCAGATGCTGGTTGTCCGAGGGAAACACCTTACTGCTGTCACACCCCTCTGCAGTCAGCAGTACGACTTCGCCCTCAGACCTTGGGTAGCTGCTTTTAGTCTCATCGTTCTCCAATCGACCTGCCTGGCATGGTAGGACCTGCAGGAACATGTGTTCCAGCCAGTATAGCTCGGTTGGGTCATCACGATAGGCAAGCCCGACCACCACGTCAAGGTAGCAGCTTCGGTCGGGAGATCAATAAATGAGAAATATAACAGAAATTCGAGGACCATATCTCATCAGTAAAAACGTAGAACGTCGTATGTACGTACATCAGTTCAGGTTGCCATACAACATTAGCACAGGGATGCAATTGTCAATTCAAATCCCATAGTGGAAGAGATAGTAGAAGTACTAGCAGTAATCGAGAAGATTAGGGAGCGAAGATATGATTCGAGAAGTATAATTCAGTGAGATAAATTTAGAAGGAGAAAGATAGAGATTATGAGGAATTATGAAGGTTAGAATTGGAGAGAACACAAAGAGCGCATGCACCTGCGCCATTGCAAACGATGGTGAACTTTGTCTCGCGGGCCCCAACCAGGTAGCCTACATCTATCAACATGACTCAGTATACTTGTCGGTGAATTCATGGATTTATGCCATGTTTTGGTTTGGCGCAGTACACTCGTCCTTTAGTCAGCAAACGGATATCTCGCCTGAGCCATGGGTGACGTAACCTGGCAAAAGCCAATCGAGCTTTCCGTATGCGTGCTGAGATTTCGTCAGTCAACAGGCCATCAGCACTGATGAGACTCCCCAGATAAGTGGAGCGGTCTACACGATCGACTACTTCACTTTATCACTAGTTCAGGTACCGATGCAACCCAATCTTGAAGCAACATTTTGCATTTCGAGGGTGAGAACCGCATCCCGAACATGCTTGCATTGTTGCTTAGGGTGGTCAAAAGACTGCATTTTGTCAGCGTCTTCACCAAGTAGGACTATGTCATCGGCATATTCTAAGTCAATAAGCGAGCCACCTGGTAGAAGGTCTACTCCTGAAAATTCAGACGAGGATATGGTTATTTCTAGGAGCATGTCTATGATAAAATTAAACAAAAATGGAGAAAGTGGACATCCCTGACGGACACCACTTGATGTAGAGAATTCTGGTGACAGTTCGCCATAAGCCCTCACTCGACCAGTGGTATTCGAGTAGAGAGCTTGGTACACCTTTCAATGACAGGCACTGCCACAGAACCTCACGATCCACTGAGTCGAATGCCGCCTTAAGGTCCAGGAAAACAACTATTGTAGGACGCCTAAATGTGTGTCTATGTTCCAGGACCTGTCGTAGTGTGAAGATGTGGTCTATACAGCCACGTCCAAGTCGAAAACCAGCATGCTTTTCTCGAGTCTGCTCTTCACGAGCTTTCGTTATGCGTTGAAGTATTATTGAGGCCAATATTTAGATACTATATTAGTTAGACTTATTCCCCTGTGATTGTCACAAGAAAACTTTTGTCCTTTCTCATAAATTGGGACAATCAGGGATTGAGACCAGTCAGATGGGATTGTATCCAGTTCCCAGATTCTACCGCTTCACATTTCCTACAGCATTTTTTTAACTCCATAAAGAGTTGGAGGACTTACATTGATTTGTCATTCAGGATGACTGGAAATCGTGGACAAGCGAAGTGTGGTTGAAGGCCAGTGTAACTGATCCCTGAAGGGATCTACCTATCGATCCAGTCTCCTGGATTGAGAATGAATAATAAGACCATCCTTTTCCGAGCCAGTCTCACTCACATTCAGATCCGTAATATCGGTTTCCTTGGTAAGGCGGAACAACTGCCTACTGTTATCTATCGCCGCTGCCTTTTCCATCGCTCTCGCTTTCGCCATCTACCACATTTCGCAGTCGTTGCGTAGGCTTTTTATCAACCTGCGCTTAAACTGACTTCTCCTCATCATGTTCAGAGCCAATGCTATACCTACACCAGCGAGACCCGAGCAAGCAGCATCAGGACTTCCAGATACACGAAGAGTAAGTCGACTTGCTTATTTATCTTCATATGGAAAGATAAAGTGAATGACGCTACTCGGATCCTGCATACGCGTTTCGGAAACGCATTATTCATCGATGGCTCGAAATTCTAATGTCCTGGCTAAGGAAGCCTGTTGCCCTATTTGACACAGTGTTCGGACGTTAAATGCACCAACATGTAATTTAGAACGATGTTTCAGGAGACCAGGAATAACGTTTCACGAACTCGCATCGTTTGCATCAGCAGTGCAGGGTGTTAAAGGAATGTGAGTAGAGTTAGTCGTGGAGATAAGAAAGATATTTTGGGGTGTAGGAAAGATATGTTTGTGACCGATTTGTTCTCGCGTGTTGTTACGGGTATGAGGGCGGTTCTCACTTCACGGCTTGCCACACCGTGGAACGGTGTTTCTTGAGGAGCCTGAAAAAGAAGGAAGATTAGTGACGGTCTTTGAGACCTGGGAGCGTCACCGCAGAGTCCAAGGGACAACTGCTTCAGGCCAGTCACGCAAGACCTTTTTATGAAAAGATTTTAGAGTATTAGCTCCGATCTTAAAAGCTCTTAGTGGGCAGCCCGTACCGACGGAGATGGAAATCCGTGAGTTAAGGTAAGGTGTGACATTTTTAGGGTCGACCTTTTCTAACCACTGCCTTCCTTGTGAGAAGTCAGCATCGCTGCAGATGCTGGTTGTCCGAAGGGAACACCTTACTGCCGTAACACCTCTATGCAGTCAGTAGTACGACTTCGCCCTCAGATCTTGAGTAGCTGCTTTTAGTCTCATTGTTCTCCAACAGACCTGCCTGGCATGGTAGAACCTACAGGAACATATGTTCCAGCCAATATAGCTCGATTGGGTCATCACGATAGGCAAGCCCGACCACCACGTCAAGGTAGCAGCTTCGGTCGGGTCCATATCTAATATTTCTAGTTATAAATGAACTAAACTGTCACTTTCCTAAAAACGATTATTACAGACCGTGTTAGTCAAAGAAAACGACAGATGTGATTTCCTGTAAGATAAAAGGAAGGAACTATGCAGAACTTCAGATAAAATTGCATCGGTTTAAATTAACGTACGTCCCAACAACACAGGAATAAAAAATCAGAAATGCTAAGGTATAAAAATAAATAAGAGGGAAGATAGTAAAAGTGAAGAGCGTGAAAAACGCTTAACGAGATTAGCTTAATTAGTCTACACTTACAGTGTGTGTGTCATTAGAAATCACTTGTAATCGAAAATGAAATACCAAATCACGAACATCCAATCATCAGTATCTATTACAGTGATTAGACTGAGCGAATAAAAAGAACCTAGAGTGAAATACGATATGGCATATCAGTTTTCCTAGCGCTAATTATAATATGTCTAATTATGAACTCTTAATTCAGCAATAACGGACGAAACAAATAACTTAAACATACTTGACAGTAAGCATGATTTCTTGTTGCCTTGTGTGCTTCATCAAATATGAGCAAACGGATAGAGTTAGCAGGACAAACACCAGTCTGTAGATCATTCATTAACACTTGAGGAGTAAGGAATAAGACTCGATATGTTGACCAGATAGTTTTTCTTTTCGTTTGTGCTATTGATCCAGTCACTTCAGCACTATTTTCTTTAAGTGGTCCAATAAATTCTGAACACGAAATAAATTGCTGTGTTACAAGAGGTCGAGTTGGTGCCATGAACACAAATCTCCCCGCAGGATACCAACGGAAGAAATTATACATAACGACGGCAGCAATAAATGTCTTACCAAGTCCTGTGGGTAAGCAGACAAGTGTATTTTTATACAAACATTGCTCGATTATATTTAACTGGTATTTACGCATGCTTGAATCACTTGGATAAATCCACTCGACCCCAGCATCTACATCGAAACCTTCTAAATGTTCTGAGTCATTAGCTGTAGGATGATATACAACAGGTTTTCGTTCCGAAATATAATTAATAATTTGTGCATTATCACAAAATTCATTTTTTTCTGGATTAGCGCTAGAATCTGAAACACTATTGAATTTATCAAGAATACTAGCCACGCAAATATCATCAGGATCCACAGAGTTGAGTGTCTTATGGAATGAGTTTACGGCACTGGCATGATTGTTAGCAATAATTGAGTGTGAGGGGATTAGGTTTGACCAAGATTGTAACAAAGAAGTTTGTTTCATAAACACAATCGATAATCACTTTACACTTGAAAAATCTAGAAAAGTAAAATAATATAAACTCTAACATATTTTCATGCAAATATTATCATTAGATATGATTAATAAAGTGTGACTTGATCATTTCAAATAAACTGAGCATAAGTAGATGGTTAACAATGAAATAATAGATTTAATTTAATTTGCTTATTTATTCTCTGAAAAAGCGACTTACACAAAGTCATGAAACATCAGAAAAAGTTTTAATTTTTTTTAATCATTAAGATATTACAAATACATTTGTACTAGATACTATTATAATTACCTAACTAAAAACATAATAGTCTTGTTTGCACGCCCACTTTATATACGCTGTTAACGTCAAATAAAATTGTAAATGTATTACGGCAAAAAAACAAAACAATTTTAATTAATTAATTTCGGAGAAGAATTTGATTGTTCGACGCGATAGTGATGCATGAAGTCACAAAAGCAAAGAACAGGTTGAGTTTTACATAGTATTCTGCGCGTCTATCATTTGAGTAATGTAAGATGCAAGTATAGTCCATATAATCTAAGCTTCAGCTGCTTTACTTAAATATCTTCAGTTTTTTAAAAGCATAGTTATATGGAAACCTACATTGTAATTCTTCAGTGAAGCATAATAGTGATAAGTATCAGTAGTTAGAAGTCAATCGGTCTAATTACTTCAACCCGCTAAATGTATCTAGATACTCAAGTTATTTACAATCAGTGGTATACAAAATAAAATCTGACTTTCTTGATATTGTTACTAATTTTGAAACAAAGAAAGTAACGTTTTAAGTCATTAAGCAAAACAAAATCAGTCTGGTAAAGAGAATTTTATTTTCGACTTCATTATTGAAAGTTGTGATTAATTTATGATACCCTTGTCAATGACGCAACAACTTGTAATTTGATTATAGACTACTGTGTAAATAACTATAAATACGCTTATACAAATTTAATAAACGGTGTCTTCGGAAAAATTTCTTTGTTGAACTGAGGCTATTTCGTTTACTATTACTAACGTTAAAAAAGTCTAATGATCCTAAATGGAATTTTCATATACAACTTCACATAGCTATGGAAATTTTATCTGAAACTGTAATCCTCCGAATATTTGATGGCGCATATTTTGTGCACTGCGATTGATTATCCAATGTAAACTGAAATGGATTACAGAGACGTGGACAGCTGAATAAGTTGATATTCATACTTGTCAAAAAGGCTTGTCAATATGTTCCAAACTAATCAGTTACCTAACTTACAACGTATACATTAACATTAAAGGAAATTATTACTGATTACTTTATTCAGTTTCAAATTTCTACAACACAATAATGAACTCAATGTACAGATATGGTATATTCTAGAGAATAAAACTGTCTGTTACTCTAGTAAAATAAAAGGAATATAAATTTGAAAAAGAAAGTTATTTGAGATCTAGCTACCTGAAAAAATGACAGGTCTATTTATTAAACAAAAACGTGATAACATTACGTTCCTACATAACTATTTAACAGCTAAATAAATCACAACTTATAGTCTCACGTGGTATTAACCCCCCAGTACAATTCAATTCAATTTGAAATGGTTGGAATTATCCCATCGTTGATACTTTAGACTGAAATTTGGCCAATGATGGTTGAAATACAGGTATCCTGTGTCCATTAACTCGATATAGCCATTATGATGTAAGTTCATATGAGTAGATGGAATATGAACAGCAGTGGGATGCAAAATGTTGCTTCAGAATTGGCCTGCGTCGGCAACTATACTAGTGATAAGAAGAGAAGTAGTCGAGCGTGTTGACCACCGCACTTATCTTGTAAGTCTTATCCGTGCTGAAAGCCTGCTTTGTGATGAAATCTCAGCACGAATACAGAAGGCTCCATTAGCTTTTGTCAACTTGCGTTGGTGAGATATCCGTCTACTAACCGAAGGACGAGTTTACTGAGCAGTATTTCTCTCGGTCCCAATTTATGGGTGTGAAAAATGGCCAGTAAGAGTAGAGGATATTTGTAGGTCATTAGTATTCGATCATCGGTGTCTTAGAACTGTTGTTCGTATATCCCAGAACAACCGAGTAATCAATGCTGTTGTTAGGAAGGGGATACTAGGTTAAGATGGCAAATCAATAGATGAAGCAGTGAACCTTCATCAGTTGAGATGGTTGGGACACGCGTTACATATGCCTAACCAACCACCGACTGCCTCCACAAGCGTTGTTGTTTGGCGTAGGGGTACTCTGGAAGGTAGCTAGGGACAGCTAAACCAAAGTATGGCACAAATCCATGAAGTCACGGATAACCCAACTGAGCTATTGAGAAGACTGAGGCAGGCGCGATAGATTGTATTTAGCAAATTTAAACTCTTAGTCAATTAAAAACGAAAACATTACATTGAACGCTCTATTTGCACACCATCTTTGAGTCCTCACTTCCAACGCTCCAGCCTTCTTCCATTCCTGCTGTTGCTTCCTTTACTTCCTTTCGGTACTCCATTTACTTCTTGCTTTTGCTCCATTTGCTTTCCGTTTTCCTCTTGTGACCGTGAGAGTTTTTCTTTCACGTCCCTTCTTATACTACTTATATTGTTCGTATGAGTAGCACACACCACAGTGTTAGTAACTGTAGACCATCTGGTTGGGGTCCGTGAGACAATCATAACCAACAGTTAGGGACTTTAAATGACATGCCTCAAAATCGCTTGCTATGATAAAGATGCATCCATTCTTTCATTTCCCTCAAATTCTAATCTTCTGAATTCTTCATGACCATTTTTCTCTTTTTAAGTTTGTTTCACTGGATTATACTTCTCGAATCACACCTTTGATCCATAGTCATTTCGGTCACTTTAATACTGCTACAACCTCAACTACTATGGGATTTGAATCGACAATTCCATATCTCTGTGCTAATGTTATGTGGTGACTTGAACTGACGTACACATGTACTAAATTCTACGTTGTAGCTGACTGACTGACTTGAGTTATAAACGCGAACCATACGGTAGCATTTACAAATCAACACCATATGCTTACCTTCAGCAGGACCAGGATGTTTAGAAACCAGTAACTAGAAGGAAGTTGATTAAAATTCTTTCTTAAGTAGTCAACCCATCATCCTGTCCGTGCAGTAATGACTGGATATATAAACTACCAAACCCTTGACTATTAGTTTATAAGTTTGAAACCCGTCCCATTTACTTCGGTTTTAGAAAAAGCAAGTATCACTGGCAGCACTCACATAAAGTGCGCTTAGTTACCGAGTTTCATAAAATCATAAATGTATTAATTTCATTTATATTAATAAAGATTATTATCTTTACCAACAATCAATACTATTGTGTCAGCTTGTTCTTTATAAATCCCAGTTCCCATGACTTTTGCTATCAGCTACTGACTGATTTTAGATTATTTTGCATTTTTAACTTTTCGTACTGAATTGTACTAAAAATCAATACTCACTAGACTGAACGTTATTTTTCTCAGGCTTTTTGCTTACTATCTACCGGATGCACTTGCATCTTTGACTTCTTGAGTTCAGGTTAACAAATTTTGGTAGAACTCATTTTTTCCAATGTTTGAACTAAACACAAAGATGGTATATCTCTACTAAAACTACCCAGCAAAGATTTGTCTACTAGGCTTAGCGTCACACTTGTATGAGTCAAATATGGAATCGGACTGTTTAAGCTAAATAAAGTGGGACGGAACTTATACATAAGACTTTGGGCGCTACTCACATGAATAATGATCGGACAGCGTTGATTCACAACAGAATTGTATCAATACTGGGTTCGCCAGGAATATAGAGGCATACATCATAGAAAAACCTGACTTAAATTTAACACCCGGGCCTAAATCGCGATGGTGATTATTTTAGGTTAAACTATGCGGGAAGAGACATCAGTTACGAGCACTTACCTGTTAAAATACAAAAAAACCTCCATCAATTAATCAAACGGATTTATAGACCATCAAATGTTAGCTCTTCAAAATTAATTTACACGCTAATAGAAAAAAAAAACATTCTGTACTTATGGGAGTGAGTAACTGACCGCTTGCATGATATTAATGCACAGAATATCTGAAGATGTATTAAAATAATATGGTCTGGATATTTAAGGCTAAAAAGATTTGTTTGAGGCAACAGATATTCATCGACACTACAAACGTCATTCAGGCTTTCATAACCAGCATAAAGTCTGAAAATAATGTATGCCAGTTCAATTTTCCAAACCAAACCAGAAAGATATGAAAATAGTACGATAACTGCTAGAGTGGTAGAAATAATAATGGCATTAGTTGTGGCAGAAAACATGATGTATAATTGTCATAATCGTTCATTAAATACGAATTTGTGTACTTAATTTTGAGCTACATGAATTGCATGAAAGATAATACTATTTCGTCGTCCAAATCGCAGCAAGCAGGATGGAGTTCAGACATTGACCTACTAGGTCCGTTGGGGTCCGCGAGACGATAGTCACCGATGGTTAGAGACCTTGAACGACATCGCTCAGAATCGTTTGCAATGGCGCAGGTGCATGCACTCTTTGTGTTCTCTCCAATTCTAACCTTCATAATTCCTCATAATCTCTATCTTTCTCCTTCTAAATTTATCTCACTGAATTATACTTCTCGAATCATATCTTCGAACCCTACTCTTCTCTATTACCGCTAATACTTCTACTATCACCACCACTATTGAATTTGAACTGACAGTTGTGTCTCTGTGTTGATGAGGCATGGCAACCTGAACTGGTGTGCTTACGTACGAAGTTCTGCGTTGTATCTGTCTGATATCACTGCCGTTTCCACAGCCTTTTTGATATCATTCTAACCTGCTTCCGGTTGGTAATAGCTAACATGGTTGGCTCACTCTTTTGAGTTGCTCCTGAAATACATTCTTAGCTTTATTGTCATTACGTAAAACCCTAAGAGGCTTCCTTACGGTGTCTTTCCTACGTGCAGTAAGCCTCAAACAAATACGCGTTCGCACTAGCTACCGAACGACAGAATCAGGATAAATTTTTCAGGATAAAAATGGTACTCATGTGATGTAATAACACAGTTAAAGCTAAACACTTCGAAATTTAGTCCATTTGAAGCATACTGCGGACTATGCGGCTCAAGTAGAAAATGATCTAGGAGTTGTGGTACCTTATGACCTGAAATCGTAAGTTAACTGTGACGAAAATGCCTTGAGAGCAAACCATTATAGGTAATGCGAAAGCGCATTTTTTGGTCATTTTTGCAGTACAGTCTTCCAGCTATTCTCTTACAGCTTTGTTCAACCACAATTAGAATATGGAAACAGTGTTTCCCCCCTCACTTCAAAATGACAAGAAAACACTAAAACATCCCAAGGAGCCAGGAAATCAGTTCGAGTACTTATTTTGAGCCTTATGAAGAGCGCCCCAAGTCACTAGATCTTTACTCTTTTAAGTAAAGAAGTCTTAGAGATAACTTTTAAGTGATTTATAGCATTCTAAAGAATCCTGAATACTCTCTAAAATAATCGCTTAAGCTCGATCTCCAAACAAACAAGAGAGCAAATACCCAGAGGCAAGATGCAAAACGATACGAGATAGACTGGAGGCTAACCTTCTAACCTTTAAACAGTAGTTCAGTTCTGCAGTTTGTCACCGAATGAAGTGTTATAAGAAACTTCATTACAGTCCTTCAAGAAAAAACTTGATATTTCCTTACAGAATCAGAACAGTATCTATCTATAACTAACAAATATTTCTCTTTTACTAGTTGAACATATTCAAACTCCTACCTGGAAGCATTGGTGATAAATTGCTACTAGATACGCAAGCCCGTGAAAGCATCTACATTCCGTGCACAAAATTTGGAAGCGTGCTTTCTTTAAGGAAGTATTTAAAATTTGGGGTAGGGGAGGATTTGAAGGTTCTAAAAATAAGTTGCATTAAGAGTTAATAGCACGAGCTGATCCCAACTGTTAAGTTAAAATTTTATTGAACAGAAGTAGGGATGAAGTTTGCGACTGTAAACAAGCCTTAATATATTAAACTCTAGTAGGTTTTCCACAAATACTAATAATTAACTAACCCACGAACAAAATTCACACATGTTGTATTGACATAATACTTGTTTCAGTAAAATATGTACCCAGAGGCTAATCATTTTGTCTGGTACGTCAAGGTAACAACCTTGAAATCGTACGACGCGCAGTAGATCCGATTTCACATACTTGGTGCAATAAAACACATAATCGCTAGCAAAAAAGGTGTCCAAAAAAGCAAACAAATCACTGATAGGGGGAATTTCATAGACTTAGGATCATCAAATCATCTTCCGAAACAAAAAGGAGCTTATTACAATGGTCGTCATCCTGTGCTATGCACCTGCCAACAACTACGAATGAAAACGTTAACGATCAATTCTACAAAAGGTTGCTGTAAATTGTCGACATATGCTTATCAAAGGAGTTTACTAGTCTTATGGGAGACCTAAATGCCACAGTTGGCATGGACAACACTGGCTGTGAAGACATCATCGGACGATATGGACTGGGAGAATGGAACGAAAATGGTGAGTGATATGCAAACGTACGTAACTTCAATAAAGTGATCATTAGCGTCACCGAATTCCGATACAGACGCATGTACACACAGCTACATGGATTTCACCGGACCAAACTACTCACAACCGAACCGAACATATCTGCATCAATAAAAGGTTCAGAATGATTACGGAGGACGTGATACCAAGAAAGGAGCTAATATAGCTTCAGATCATCACTTGCTGGTTGCCAAAACGAAACCGAAACTCAAGGAACACTGGACACTGGGGCGGGCAGCATCAAAAAAGTTTAATACGGCATTTCTTCGGAATAATGACGAACTAAACGAACTCAATATAGCCCTCAGCAATAGATTCCAGGCTTTGCACGACCTACTCAATCTAGAGCAACCAATCATAGAGAACATTTGGAATGGGATCAAGGAGGCAATCACCTAAACATGTCAGGGAGGTCTAAGCCAAAAACGTACCGTCACAATGAATGGGTCTCTTTTTATACTCTTGATAAAATTGAAGAAAGGAAGAACAAGAAGGCAGCAATCAGTATCAGACAAACGAGGTCAGAGAAAGCCAAAACATATCTGCATACACAGAAGCAAATAAGCAAGTGAGGGGGGACATCACATTCAACCAACCAACAACTTAAGGGGTCAGTGTAATCGTCAGACCAATCAAGAGTGTAGAAGCAACAAGACCAGACAACATTTCAGCTGAAGCAATGAAAGCTAACACAACAGTTCCAAGAAAGACGTTCCAAGCTCTCTTTAGTAAGATGTAAGAGGTATGTCAAGTAAAAACGGACTGGACAGAAGGGCAACTCCAGAAGCCAAAGAAAAGAGATTGCAACAAGTGTGAACACTACATAGACAACACTCTTCTCTTAACACCAGCAAAAGTCTTCAACGCAGTACTGCTACGCTGAATGAAGGATCCCGTAAACACCCATCTTCGAGATCAGCAACCTGGATACCGTAAGGATTGATTGTATGCCGAAAAGAGTGGACAAGAACGGGACATAACTAGAAAGGAAAGACAGGATTGGCCAGAAATTGCTGGTCGGCGACCTATGCTTCACTAGGGGTAACGGGCGTAAGTAAGCAAATAAGTGGATATTTTCCCAACTAATTTATCATATTTTCTTTAAACACCAAATTCACTCCATTACTTGTTATCAACAAGATGATATCAGTAGCTTAAATACATATATATATATATATATATATATATATATACATTTGAAACACTCTGCAGTAGCAGACCAAACTGAAACTATGATTTCAGTAACAAGCTGGAAGGGAGTATGCATAAGGTTCTCAATCAATCCATTTACTGTCGAACGAACTCAGAATGTACAGTTAACAAACATTAAATAAAATATTCAAGTGCACATGCCGTGAGGCTGCTCCATGTTTAAATCAACAACAATAAATCAATAGACTAACGGATTTCGAAACTAAATATCAAGCGTAATTCTGACAACTGTCACAAAAGAGAATGGACATTAGTGAATCGAAACTTGAGGTGTGAAATGTTTTGGCCATTCTTGAATGGATTACCGATTTGGAATGAAAGTGAAATACCCCTAAATCCAATAATTTTATTCCTTGATTGAGTATTTAATTTCCAATGCTTTAATTACACTATGGGTTATATTGTAATTTTGCGATAACTAAAATATGAGAAAATTTTCCCAATTCTCATTATGATAAGACTTTTTACTTTAGCTGCCTCGGGGACCCTGCATGCCTGCCTCGCCCTTTTCTTTATTCTGTTCTAAAATATCAGCACAGATACGTTAGTTTCCGGCACATTATATTTTTTAGAGATATTGTAACATTCAGAATCCGGTAAGTTTGTGTCGGACCTGAAGGTATTACAGTATATCCACCTTTTTGAAGAGAATGCGATTGGATTAATAGAAACATTCATTTTTATAACCAACTGTACCAGTGATTGTTTAACTGTACTTTTTGCTGATAATACTTTACGAACAAACTTCCGTTTGTGTTGCTGCCATTTTCGGCTCCACTGTCTCTGTAATTTCGCCTCACTTCTCTGGCTCGATTTCGGTATTCTTTCGATACCACGAAATCGCCGGCAAATATATTCTTTACAATGAATAACCCTTCTTCTCTGTGACGGACTCGTAATTTCTGTAGTGCTGATCATAGTCAATCTCGACACGATCGCCACAACAGTAATTGAGTGCTGAGGGAGTGTTATGATCAGAAAGTCCAAGCATTTAGAAGGTGGAAGAACAAGAAGGAAAGTGAGACGGTGTATCAATAAACACATAGGATTCACTTATATTGAAAGGAATCGACAACCATTAGAAATATCTTAAACGTGAGATTAAGGCAATCCGACAAAATTAATTTAATAAATAAATTGGCTACTCATCATTCATACAGTTGTTGTGTATGTGTTCTATTAAGCTCAATATTCAAATTATCATTTCAATCAACGAAACTCAGTCAGAATCATAATTTAAATGACAGCAACAAACAGCAACCATACACAAATTAATATTTAAAGAGGTTTCTGTTCAAAGATTGTCTTAATTGATAATTTCACACTGAATGTTCATTGACCACACGAATTATGGTCCAAACTAAGTAGACCTACATATGCAAAAAGTAGTGAGTCCAGAAGTTAGCAACCAGCCTCTGCGATAACTGCATTTCGAACAGATTTTGTTTATGCACAGACAAACCACATCATGAAATGATAACTAACAATTAGATATGAACGATCCAAAAATTTGCGTTGAGGAGACTTTAAAGAATAACAATGATGATCATAAAGTTTACAACAGCAGTTAATGGGTCAAGAGAAAGCTTATTATGCATGAAATATGTATGTGGTAATCTAGTTTCTCAATAATCAAACAATAAAAGTATATATAATGATAATCTGTGAATTAATCCTGGGAGTTGCCATTTCTCTAGTCTTCATCCTTCTACGACAGATGTAAAACTACTTATTTTTACCAACAGTAGTGAATAAATATAACTATCATAATACAGTGTCTAATATCAGGAATTTTCGATAAATATCATAGAAAATAGTTTCAAATTATTGACATTACGTGTTCGATTTGCTTGATAAATAAGCAGTCAAAATTTTTATGACTTAATTTAGGATACGAAAATTATCAACTACTCTTTGTAAAGTCACTTGAAACTAGTAAAAGATGCAATCAGTTATTACTATATATCTACGATATAAAGTAATATAATAATAGGTTTGTTATTTTATTTTTTTAACCGGACACAAGTTTTTATTGACTGGGTATTATTCAGAGTAAGTTTACCTTGTGACCTATGTTCTCTTGCAAATTTATTCATGGTCTTTTTATTAAAAATTTCGACTCATAATCGCAACTAATTCAGGCCTATTCAAATTAATAACATGAACCGTTAAAAAATCATAAAAGCGAATTTGATTAGGCACTAGTGATTATTCAGTTAAAATTTATTTATTCTTTAAATACTAATAAGAATACAACAATACGAGAGTAATTTACATGAATATCATTATGTGTTTGTGCAAAAAAGAGGGTCATTTTTAGTGATTCATGTTTCAAAAACTAACTTCACAATAAACTTATTGTATAATTATTTATTTACTTCCGTTTGTTTGACAGAACAATCAGTAACGTATTATTTAAAAGCAACTTATATTACAAAATGACAATAGTATGCTATTGAAAAATAGGAAATGCTTGGTATATGTTTCGTTTTTATATGGAACTTTTCAGAAACCGGTATCAAGAAACATAAAGAATATTGAACTCGATATCTTCCAGTCCCCTGCCATGCACAATGCAACTAAGTGGGTAAGTCAGTTAGTTCATTACAGATTAGAACATGATATGTATATACATAAGTTCAAGTTGCTATGCCTCATTAGCACAGAAAGATTAATTAGGTGGTGAAGTAAGGGTTCAGTGGTTCACACTCTTAAATTCAGTCAGTCCATGTTTTATTGGCACACTTTCATTCAGTATTATTGGCTAATTACTGTATCACTATCAATATTTGACTCTACTAATTAAAATTTCCTGCTAAATATTTTTCTCATCTATTAGATGTTAGAAGCCGTTTAGTAATATATATATATATATATATATATATATATATATATATATATATATATATATATATATATATACGAAGTTGAACCCTCGTAGTCTCCTGCTTATGTATATTCACCACTACATTTCGAACCTGATCAATTGTACTTTTCGATAATATGCACTTACTTTCCGAATTTCAGCATTTCATCAGGTGTCTAATTTAATATTCATTATTCATATCCTAGATTTCCTATTTTATTTATACGTAGGACAAATAAACCTATTTTGTGACGAAATGTGATAGATTTTATCATCCATATGTCAGTAAATGGACTAGGATTTTCATCAAGGATACGATAAAATCCAATACTTACATAGGAAATTCATATAATGTTAAAAGTGACAAGTTAACATGATCTACAAATACTTTGTGTACAAATTAAACAAGTATGCAATGATATGCAGAATAAAAGAAATATGTAAATCAACATTTAGTTACATTATCTTTAGCTCGTAATTATTGTTGGAA